GTCACTGACTCTGGGCCCAGGAGTCCTCAGGTCTCCTCACGCTGCTTGCCACCCAGGTTCCCAACCGGGTCCACAGAAGCCCATTGAATATTGTAAGGCTTAGCTCGTCACTTCATTGCTGCCTTTACCCCACTTCTCCCCATCGGTGATGCGTGTGGTCACCAATCAGAGCACGGAAGGGGGCCTGCATTGGTAGGACCCGACCAACTGCCCCAATGTCTCCTAGGGAAGCAACCCGTTTGTTCCTGTAGTAACAGTCCATCTGCCTCCATCGTATCATATTTTTCCTGTAGGTCTTTCATTCGAGACGTATCTTTTGTTCTTCTCACTGCTCCAGGCTGGTCAGCTCATCCTTTCAAGTGGAGATTCCTCATCTCTGCTGATCTGTATGTGGTTCTGGTTTCTACCTATAGTTTTATGTATTGCAAAGGCTCCGCAAGAAGCCTCGTTCACTGGGTACGCTGTAGCCCCATTTTAGGTATTCCAATCAGTTAAAGGCAGAAGACGGACTTACAAGCCTTCTATTGTGATGTCTATATTCTCTTTTGAATCTATCTTAAATTTTTGGCAGTTCCCTGTCGATATACTATTGCAACCATTTTTAAATTATGTTCAGAAAAATTTTATTTGAATGTGATATTAATGATATTGTCCAATGATTTCCACATTCTGTTGGGTCACCTTTCATCAGATGAGCACATATACAAAACACTGAAAGGGGGGATAGAAAGTTTAGAAAGCAAGAGGAGTGTGGAGAACAAGAAAAAAAAAATTGTACCTTAATCTCTGCAAGCCTCAGGTATGTTTCTGCAATGTCAGTCTGCTTTCTTGTCTCTGAAGCTGCTCACCTTCAAGCTAGATCTTGAAATGTTTTTGATGTGAGTGTGACACCATTCCTCTTCAATCTGACATTCCTTGATAGGAAACCATGTGACTGTCAAAATGTCCAATAGTAGTCTATTTCAAATTACTAATGCCTTGGATATCAATCTTATGTGTTTCATTTCATATTTGACAACTTCCAATTTTCTTAGATTCATGCTTTGTACATTCCATGTTCTGATTACTAATGGTTGCTTACAGCTGTTTCTCCTTATTTTGAGTTGTGTCCCATCAGCAAATAAAGACCCCAGAAGCTTTGCTTCATTCACAACATTATGGTAAACACTATTTTGAGGAGGCAGTTCTTCCCCAGTCATATTTTGCATTCCTTACAACCTGAAGGTGTCATCTTCTAGCACTATATCAGATGATGTTCAATTTCTGTTGCTATTCATAGTGTTTTAATCTTATGACACTACATCTGACAACATTCTGCTTCCATTCATAAGGTTTACAGTGGCTAACCATAGAGGAGCAGTCTGCCTCTCCTTATTCTTGGTTTGTCTTAGCCTGGAAGTTCACCATGGGTAACACTGCTGGTATTTAAAATACAAGTGGCATGGATTCTAGCACAAGACACCAGAGTACAAAAAACTGACAGACAAGCGGTGGGTTTTTAAGTGTAGAATTAATAAAAGAATATATTTAATAGTTGATGGTTACATATTATTTTCTTACTCAAAATACACAACAACAAGGAAAGAGCTAGAGAATGAGTTTATGATATAGGTGTTTAACAAGACACAGACTTTAAGGACCATAGACATTTTATAGATATACCAAGGAGGAAGAAGCCCAATTATGTATTTCAGACTTTTTTTTCTACTGGGAGTAACAGGCAAATATCATACAACTAAAGAGTTACATGTTCAACCAGCTGTAAAATTTACTGGTGCTGACACCCAGCCCAGTTTCCTTAGGGGTGTACATAGGGCTATAAACTTAGCATAGCAACACATTCTTCTGGGAGGCCAGAGGAAGAAAAAGAAGCTTGAAATATGGAATAAAGTTGCTAGAGACATTGATAAACAATTATTCCTTGGACTGCCAAGTAAAAAGGTGGAATTTTTCAAAGAAAGGAGCTGGAAGGATAAGAAAGAAACTAACTTCCAGAAGAGAAGGTGCTAAGGTCTGGCTCCTGGCAAAGCAGCTGATTTGACTAGAGTTTGGCAAAAGAATCAAAGAACTCAGCTATCTCTGTCCTATATGAGATGGGGGTGGTAGGGGGAAGAAAGAAAGAGCATTCAGTGTATCAAGTTTCCTCACTAACAGTTTCTTAATGTCTTTGGGGAAAGAATACTGGGTTGAGTGGACTGGTTTCCTTAATGCCAATTTGCATTAAGATTCATTTTTATAGACTATTGGGTATATTGTGCAAAGCAGGGTATTCCTTTCCTTGCTGTAGAGTTCTAGATCTGCTTGTGGGCTCTGTAGTAATCCAAGAGTTTCACATTTTATTAATGAAAGAGTTATGAAACTCAGTGAAGTATGATGAGGACTCATGATACAATAATTACTTTATTTGTCAAATGTCTGCTATACACCAGGCCCTCTCCTTATGTCTTCTCTATTCCTTACCACAATCATGGCCCAATTTACTACACCTCAAAAAATTATATCATTTGACTAAGGTCAAGCCACCAGCATATGCTACCACTGGGATTTGAACCCTGATTCATTCAGATCTTAAGCCATGTTCCCATCCATCACACTGGTTCTCAATTGCCAGCCAGTGTACAACCCAATGCCCTGTGCCAGAGGTTCTGTTCAGCAGATATCACTGGTTGGGTGTTCTGTGAAGCAAATCTGGAGATAATAAGGATTTTCATGTAAGTGTTTATTTTGGAGATCAGCTCAGGAAATACCAGTAGAGAAGGAGGGAAATAAGACAGGCTTGAAAAATAAACAAATAAAATGTGCATTACCACAGAGCTGGTTACTGCTTTGGACAATGGGTGCTCAGTTCTGCTTGTAAATTTTGGGTGACAGTGGAGGACGTGTCTCAGAGTTTCCCTGCTCTGAGGAATAAGGAAGGGGGTTGTTTTTTACTCACTCCCACCACCGTGGGCTTGGTAAAGGAAGTGTCCGAGGAAGTTAAGTTCTTGGTTCCCCTGGTCCTCATTAAGAGTAAGCCAAGGATTGGTCCAAAGCAGGTGTCCTTGGGTAGAATGCTACAGATATTTGGAGTAAGGTGCCATCTGTGATATGGGTGTCAGAGGTGAGCCAAACAATTGTGGGCACCAACAATCAAGCGTAAGCTTAGGGAGGGCTGAGGGTCTGCTATTTCAAATCTATCTATGTGATTATGGTGAACAGTCAATTAAGGGCAATTGTGTCACAGGTGATGCTTTAAAAACTGCAGATATTGTCCTTTACAAGAGACTCATATGCTGTTTTTCTCTCTCAACCCATTGCTCCTAAATATAAAAGAATTAGCCTTAAGAGCAAAAAGGAAAGAATCTAAATGAATGCATTTTTTTCAGGTTTTAAAACATTTTATTTGCATATTAAAAACGTGTGCATTCCAATAATTAAAATCATTGAACAAAAAAAGCAGCACCCCGATGAAGCTGCATTTTACGCTGGCAGGACACCTTGGACCAGCTTTGTTTTTACTCTCTATATTTTATTCACTGTTGTCCCACCCAACATGAATTTCTTTTCCTTCCCTGCCAGCCAGGTAGGCCAATGGTAGCGGCAGGTACCACCTTCATTGTCAGTAGTTCTGGATTCTTTGCTGTGAAAAGGGGCAGCAGTCATTTAAACTTGATCCAACCTCTTTGCATCTTACAAAATTAAACAGCTAAAAGAAGGAAAATAAGAAGGCAATGCTTATGTAACGTACAGTGCATATTGCGTCGCTGCCTCATTATGGTTCGCCCGCTTGCTTCTCCTGTTCGATGGTTTCTTTTGAAGGCAGTGGATTTTTCTTTTGCGTTTCTGTCTTCCTCAATTTCAATTTATCGAATTTCTCAATCTTGACCATATCGAGTTTGTCAGACATGGTAGTGGAGGAATAGAGCGAGACAAGAGCGAGTGGTGTCCTTGAGAGCAGTGGCTGCCGCCGAGTTGCAATATTTTTCTTATAAGTGAAATTTTCTCGTGAAATAGAAAAGCAAGTTATGGTTAATTTCTCCTTTCAGAAAGGATAAAAGTGGCTAACCTTTATAAAAAGCCAGGAAATGGTCAGGATTAATCTTATACCATCCTATCAAAAGGTATAATCATAAACCATCACCATATGATACTATCGGTGCTCTCATGATAATGCAATTTTGCTCCAAATCAGTGGCTTAGAACAAGAAATACCGAATATCAATGGCTTGTTGTTATGTGCCGTCGAGTCGGTTCCGACCCATAGCGACCCTGAACAGGGTTTCCGAGGCTGTAAATCTTTATGGGAGCAGAAAGCCTCCTCTTTCTCCCGCAGAGCATCTGGTAGTTTCCAACTGCTGACCTTGCAGTTCTCAGCCCAATTCGTAACCACTACGCTACCAGAGCTCCTTAGAATAAGAAATATTTGTTTTCATGATGATGAATATAAGGTTGATTGAAGTTTGGCTGATCTAATCTGGACTTGACTGGGTCAGGCTAGACTCCAGGTTTTTGGTCAACTTCAGATGTGATTGTGCCTTCATTATGGGTGAGTGGGCAGTGGTTCTTTGGGCACTTTTTCTCATGGCAACCCACAGGAATGCAAGAATGACTAGCAGAAACTCTCAATGCCACTTAACGTCTAGGTTCAGAATTGGCAAAGCATCACTTCAATCTATATTCCATTGGCCAAAGTAAGTCAAGTACGACACAGTAGAAAAAGTTGCAAAGTTGGAAGATATAATATACGACTTGCACATATAAATGTATCACAGGTGAGAGTAGAAAATTAAGGGCAATAATCCAATCAACACCATCTCATCAGGGAGGAGATCAACTCAGGATCATTTGAGGAAGAAGCTTGGGGGAAATGCAGCAGGACAGCAGGAAGCTGGCATCTTGAAACAAGTGCTATTGATCACCTTTGGTCAGAAAAGACCTAATGGGCTGATGTACATGGACTAAGGGGGCAGGTTCAGAAACAGAGATTATAGTGTTGTGGATGCCATGTTCATAAATAGGGAGGACATTTTGGAAGTACTATAAGGTGGAGCCAGATCAAGGCTCAGCTTATGGGTAGAGGGCTATAGGAGCTAGATTACAGAATGAGGACGCCTGGTCTGTCAAATTGGGATGGTGCAGCACAGGCTCCACTTGAGTGCCAAGGAACCAGGGAAGATTTAAGAGGAGCTGTGCCCAAGCAGGGTAACTAATCTTGCTGACAGCATAGGATTTAGGACAGGCCATCTATGCTGGGTAAGGAGCTCTGATAGTGTAGCGGTTATGAGTCAGGCTACTAACCTCAAGCAGTTTGAAACTACCAGCAGTTCTGCGGGAGAAAGATGAGACTTTCTGCTCCTGTAAAGATTTACAGCCTCGGAAACTCTATACAGGGTCTCTATGAGTTGGAAAAGACTCCACGGCACGTAACCACCACCACCGCTACCTATGCTGGGTACATACATGGGCACTTGCTCAACACACGCAGGCTGTCCTGTAAGGCCTTGGTAGACTATGCCTGAAGAAGATAGCTGTGACTTGGGGTGTCTATGCTAAAGGAAGCAAGATGAACAATGACCAAAATTCCTCCTAGGAAGTACACCAAAGGAGAAAACCTGAATACACGGTGTTCAATTCAAAGGCCCCATTTCCTCCTACTCCAAAAGGACAAGAAGACTTCAGACATAGCCTGGGGGGGGGGGTAGTTTTTCTTCTCAGAGACTGGAAGAATCCAAACTTGAACCTGAAGAAAACAGCTGTTAGCAAACACCAAATTGGGGGAGAGGAGATTTTTATGTGTACAATTTAGTGACTTGAGTACATGATTTCTGAAGGTATTTCACCTGCAAATGACTCTAGCTTAGCAGACAAGTTCCATCTTGTGCCTTGCTTGTTTCCGATGCCAATTTATATGAGTACCTCGTGCATCGCTGACAGCTGAATTGGCAAAGTCAGAAGCAGAATGTGTTTGAAAGTGGGTTTGGGGCCACTTTCCCCAGCTGGCTCAGGAAACATAAAAAATGCCTTCTCAGGAACATTACTGGACATGCCCCTTAGTGCAACCAGAGTAGCATGGTTGTGACGTCATACCCCAAGGGGCTTACATGTGGTGTGTAAGCTTTCCTGTTTACAATAGTCCCTTCCCTGCTTCTGTAGACCTGTTCTGAGTATGTGATAAATTTTTGCCATTGTGATTATAGAAGGAGATTCCTTTGTTCTCTGTGCCCTATGAAAGGTAGAACTTTCATATGGAGGTAGAACTTTGGACTTTATCATGACATCATATTGAGGATTTCCTTCACTCAGGTAATCAATGTTGGTTTGGTTTTGTTTTCACTTCTGTTTAAGATTTAATATAGAGAATATATAATATTGATAAATCTGAAGATAGGGTTTCACCCCCTCCTATAACAATACAGCTGCTGCTCCTCAGAAACCCTATATAGGATCGCTATGAGTCGGAATTGATTCCACAACAATACAAATAAGGAAGAATCAGGAAGGGCAAATGACTACTGAGCTGTCTAGGCTAATTTCTTAAGGATGGAGAAATGGACAGGCTACTTACTGGTAAGTTGCTGTGCCTTCTGTATACATTATCATGGGACTGTTAGGGATTAAGAAATTGTACTCACCAGTAATCAATGGAAGACACAATTGCTCTTAAGCCAAAGAGAAGCAACTGACAAACCCTTGAGAAATACTACCTTTTCATTAACTGTAGAGCTTTTAAAGTACTCTAGAATATTTCTTCTTTCAGATTGTCTATAAAGGCAATATATGTTTTGGCTCATACAAAAAAAGAATATACAACTAACATCTAAAGAATATACAATTCACAAATATTCATTGCAAACTCATATAAAAAGTGCCGATGCAGTTGGTTAGCTGATAGAGGGACTTCGTGTGTCATACAACTACACTTAGCTGAATATCTACTGTGTTTTACAGGCTTACTTGGGCATCATTTTATTTAACCCATTGGTGAGCCTGTCTCATTTTATGCTGCGTTTTATTGATTGGGAAACTAAGGCACATGGGTAAATGGATTATGCCTAGAGTCCCAGAATTGCTAGGTCACAGAGCTCACACAAGACTCATTTTTGAAATTTTCAAAGTCATTCTGTAAGTCATAACATACAGCCTTTAAGAAACCAACAGAATAATATCTGATTACAGGCCAGAGGAATAGTTCCGAGGTACCTTCATTGCACTAAAGAGTCTTGCACACAACATTAAAGTATAGATAGATAGATAGTTTGATAGATAGACAGATAGATAGACAGACAGACAGACAGATAGGTAGCTGCCATGGAGTGAACTCTGACTCATGGCAAGCTGTATACAGTAGGGAAAAAAACCATTGTGTGATCCTGCATCATCTTTACAATCACTGGCTTATTCTAACTCACTGTTGCAACTATTGTGCCTGTTCATCTCACCAGTCAACTCCTTTATCCTCATTGGTCCTCTACTTCACTAAACATGATGTCTTCTTCCAGGGGCTGACTGCTTTTGATGACATGATCAATGCAAGTGAGTAAGACAAAATTCTATTATTATAAATAAGCTTTTTGTTGGTTCAAAATTGCAACTTGAGTAAAAGTTTACAGAGCAAACAAGTTTTCCACTCAACAATGTATACATATTTAGTTTCATAACATTGCTTGCAATCCTATCAATGCAACAGCTTTTTCCACTTTTCCCTGGATTCTGCATTTCCATTTGTCTTCTGAGCCAAGATTTAGGGCAAATGTGATCTTTTCATCGCTTGAAGTTGATTATACTGAAGAATATACTCCTCTCTGGTGCTATTATTCACTTTATATTGTTGTTAAGTGCCATTGAGTCAGTTCTGACTCACAGCAATCCTGTATAGAGTTTCCAAGAAATAGCTGGTAGGTTTGAATTGCCTACTTTGTGGTTCCCAGTTCAGTGCTGATCCTACTGTACCACACCAGGAATTCATTCACTCTATAGGCCTGTCTATTATTTGGGTGAAGGCTGATCCCTGGGTGGAGGGGGGTTGGTTCTGGCTTGAGGGGTATCTAAGGGCTATAGTCTTAAGGGTTTCATCAGTCTCTATCAGACCAGTTAATCTGGTCTTTTTTGTTTTTAAATTTTGTTCTTCATTTTTCGCTCCCGTTCTGTCCAGACCTTTGATCATGATCCTGAATCTATCAGGTTTTCATTTCTAATTTTTAGAAGCAGCTCACCAGCCCTTTATCCCTAGACTTAGTCTGGTAGCTCTATTGAAACTTCTCCACCATGGGTGACCCTGCCGGTATTTGAAATAGCATATCATAGCTTCAAGCATTACACAACACATAAGCCACCTCAATGTGACAATCCTACCACAATAAAATTCAGCTGAGACAAAGCTGAATAATCTCAGTCAATTAGGAATTAACATGGAAGAGGAAACAATGCATCCTTAGAACCCATCTTGAGGATAGGGTCTTCCTCTCAGAAGAGAGATGTAGATATATACCCTAAGGAAGAATGGGGTATCTTCCCCAAGAGAAGGCAAAGTGGTGTCTAATAAATGTTGGCAGATTTTTTTCAACACAGTTGTCTCCGTAAGAGGGGTATAACAAGCCAAGATCAGTCCGGAGGAAACAGTTAAATCACCCTTTCACAATGGAAGCTTGCAGGAGAACTTGGAAAAATAAAGATTAAATTCCACTTCATTTTACTAAGGGTCTGTGAGTCTGGCACACTCCAAGCAGGATTTCCTTTCAACTGTTATAGAAAGGTTTTACTGAAAATACAGCAATATGAAGGATAAGGGGAAAGAGGGAAAATGGTATTATCAAATGTTGCAACAGCAATAATAAAGGTCTCTTATAGAAAAATAAGGATAACCCAACATTTTAAAGGAGTCCTGGTGTGGCGCTGTGGGTTAATGCA